CCCCCCCCCCCCCCACAATCCCTCCACAACACCGTACGGCTGGCTGCGCCCTGTCTTCACCAGACCGTGAGCCCCAGCTGGGTGTTACACCAGCCCCCAGGTGGGCCCTAGACACAGAGGGTCGGAAGTTTCTGGAGAATGGAGCCCAAACCGGAGGAGCCCAATGATGCTGTACTCCCACACATGGCTCTGCCCCAAACCAGGTGTGGCTGTGACCTCCCCTAGATATTGAAGAGTCACCCTGCCGTCCCCTGGGACAGAGCACAGCCCTTAAAACAGACCCACCCAGGTGAGGCGGGGGAAGAGAAACCGCCCCAGTTCCCAAAGTGGCCATCGCCCCTCTAGTCCTACGCAGACAGTGAAGGAGCAGGAAGTGAGGCAGGCCCTAAGACTGGATCTTTGAATGCCATGGGGACAGCAGGCAGGAGGCCCAAGGTCCCTAAACCCCCAGTTTCCTACAACCCAGAACAGATAGGCAATGCAAGGGGTAGGAACCAGATTCTTGTCAGAGAGGTGGTTTGGAAGCTTGGCTTATTGGTTGAGTGACTTTGGACAAATCATTTCACTTCCTTGAATCTGTTTCCTTCTCTGCAACATGGGGATAATAATAGTACCAAGCCCCAGGGTTGTTGTGAAGATTACATGAGAAACAGCACTGACGCCCTCAGCCAGCATCAGTAAGCTCGAAACCAAACCCTCAGCCCTGGGAGTGGGGTGGGAGGGCTCCACCTGGGGTGGGGGGGTCCCACCTCCCAGGGGAGTTCACCCTTTGCTGTGTGCTCCCTAGGAGACCCACAAAGCAGGGAGGAGGGGGTTAGAAAAAATTTTAAACAGGTTTTTTTTTTTTTTCAGAGTAAGGGTAAGAAGAAAAGCATATGCGTTAACTCTTGATCACTTAGACCCAGTTATCCCCAGCTGCCTGCCTATCCTCACTCACGCCCTCTAGAGGGGGAGAGGAGGAGAGGGAGGTGGCTAGTGGGAACCTGTCGCCCAAACCCCACAAACACCCTGAACCTCACTTCTGCCCCCCACTGCCAGACGTCCCCCAAATTTCTTAGAGCGGACAGGTTCTAGGTCACTCCCAGTCAACTGGCCTCCTTGATGGAGCGGGGAGGCCAGGATGGAAGAGATATTTCAAAGTTGGAGGCAGGGATGGGAGGGTTCAGATCATCCTCCCCTCCTAACAGAGGCAACCAAAGCCTCTTAGGGTAAACAGCCCCTGGCTCCTCCGACCCTCTCAGGGGTGCCCATTCACCCCATGCTCAGCGACCTGTGTTGGGGGGGGACAACTTCTGCTAGTCACCCAGCTAGAAGGGAGGCACCACCATCCCCATTTTACTGGGCAGACGATGGAGGCTCAAAGGGCAGACAGTGGAGGGTTCACTCCAGGTTTCACTCCCAACCCTGAGGCTCTCCCAGGCACCAACTGGCTTATCTTTGTTCCCGGGTCACTCTCGAGGCTGTCCAGTCCTCCCCGCGCGGTTCTGGAGGGGTCCCAGTCATTGCAGACCTCTCCCCGCTGAAGACCGCACTTCGTGGGCCGCTGGGGTCCTCGCCTCTGCCCGGTCTCGGCCCGCTGGCTGGCGCGGTGCGGGGCTCCGCGCCGCCCGCAGGTTCATCAATGGCGAGGCCGGAGGGCCTGAATGGAGGGCACGAACCCGCCCCTTTTTAAAGGAGCCGTCCTCTCCCGCACCCGCAGCGATCCTCCCCACACTACCGAGGGCTGCCGGAGAGCTCCCGGGGTGGGCGGGTCGGGAACCGAGACCGTGAGAAAGAAGGCCAGGGCCAGATGGAGGGCGTGCCGGCCGGGCGACGCCGATCTGGACAGGGTCCCTCCTGTGGCCAGCACCCTCGTTTCAGGTTGGCCTTCCCCCCGCCCCCGCAGCCTAGGGAAGAGACCCCCAGCGCTCCGCCCTCCACCCCAAGCCCTGGTCAGAGACCCCCTCCTCCAGGGGGCTCACCGAGCTCGCCCACCACCGGGCCTCGGCCCTGGGAAGGGGCGGGGGGCGCAGCTGCTCCGGAGGCGGCTCGGCCCCTCCCGCCACTCCCGCCCAGCCCGGGCTGGGGCGGGGTGGGGGGGTCTAGGAGCCGATCTCCGCCGGGGGCGCATCTCCTCCGTCGCGTTCCCTCCCACCCGCGCACACAAAGACAACACGCGCGGACCGGGGCGCGTGGGGCCGCGCTCCCCGGAGCAGCGGTGCGCACACAACACGCTCGCCCTCAGGGACCGACCGGGTTCAGAGTGATGGACTGGGGGGACGAGGGAACTGGGAGGACAAGCAGGCCGTACCTATAGGCGCGCAGCTGCGGCCGAGCGGGCCGGGGCGCCGGCGGAGCGCTGCCCGGACCGCGGCCGGCCTCCCGGGGTCGCCCTTCGCGTAGCCTGTTCGGCGCCCGCAGCTGCTGCTCGCTGCCTCCGGTGGCGGCGGCTGGGCGGCCCAGCCTTGGGGCCCAGAGGGGTTAGGAACTGGCCTGCAGCCGCCCCATTCAGAGCGACAGTCCGCGGCTGCCCTTCCTCGCGGAGCGGGCTCCGGGCCAGGCGCCGAAATTCCCCCCCGCCCCGAGCGGAGGCGTCGCGGGGAGTCCGGGATGGTGGCCCCGGGAGCGCGGCCGGTAGGGGCCGGCTGGGTGGCCTGAGTTAAGTGGAGTGTCTGGGGCGTGGGCGCTCCTCGGGGACGGGCGCCCGGCGGGGACCCGGGACCCTCCGGCGTGGGGACAATGGGAGTCTCGAGAAAGCCCAGATGTCGCAACGGGGGGAAGTCGACGTCTGGTTCTCATAAATCCGGACGGCGAGCACCACGCCCCCTCCCCTCAGCGCTTTCAGTGCCGGAAATCGCCCAGGGCAACGGGGCAGAGAAAACCTAAGCAAGGTTCCCACCTCCCCATCTTCACAGTCCTGGGGACACTGACGCCACATGGGGAAGGTCTTCAGAGGTCACACAAGGGGCTGATGGGGGCGGGGCGGAGACACAGCCCTGTCTTCCTCACCTCTAGTTGGTTCTGCAGTCCCCCAAACCTGGGGTGTACATTACTGCAGATCTCAGTCTGGATTAAAAAACAAAGACCACTCTTGGCCTTTGCAAAAACTTGTGGACTGACTGCTGGTGAGCTGGGAGCCTCCAGAAGGCTTCCTGGAAGAGCCAGAGGGGCTCCTGCAGGCCTGGAAGGCGCCCAGGAGGAGCAGAAGGGCATCAGTGTGAGAAGTGTGGAAGCTGGCTCAGAGATCAGACCTAGGGCTTGCTCCCTGGGGGCGTGGGGCTCCTCCCCCTGCTCCCTTATTGCCCGCACCCCAGGCCCTCAGCCCCCACTGGCAGGAGATCTCCATCTCCCGGCCCTTGCTAAGCCTCTGCAGCCCCACGTCTGGCTGTTCTGTGATCTGCTGTGGTCTCCCAGGAGCTGTGCCTGGGAGCTGCCTCCATCTGTTACCCGCCCCCACCCATGTTGACCTCTGACCTTTGTAGAGAGCCCTTTAACCTTTCCCAAAGGTTTCACATCTCTGATTTCCCAGGATGCAGAAGAGGCAAAAAAGGGTTTTTACCCCAGTCTTGAGGATGAAAAGGGTGGGGCCTCAAGAGGAGCCATGGGTTGATGAAGGTGGAGATTGGCCCCAAGGCCTCGCCTTTTGCCCGCCAGCCCTGGGTTCCTTCCACAGTGGCGCTAAAGCAAGGCGGGCCTGGTCTGAGGCCCTGGTACCTGGCCCCTACCCTTCCATATGCAGACTGGCCACTATCTCGCCAAGACCTGCCTAGCAAACCCTTGAAAGCTTAGGCGCGGTGCAGACCAGCCATCCTTTGGAGCTACACAGAGGCCTGGACATCCGGCTGGGATTCAGACCTTTGAATGGGGCTGGAAGGGGTGTGGGAGTAAGGCGGTGGGTGGGAGGGTGACTGCCTGCAGAGTGGTAAAGAGGGAGGGAGGCCCCACACTGGGCGGCCTGGCTGTGGACCCCACCCTCCTGGGAGGTGAGAGAGCCTGCCCACCCCCCACCCCCGAACTAACCTGGTTCCGAGTGCTGGGCTGAGCTCCACTGGCGGCCAGTCATTGGCCAGGGAGGGTCATGGAGTGTGGAGCCCTAGGCAGGACAATAGCGCGGATACCCAGGGAGGAGGAAGTGAGGGGGACTCCGACCTACAAGAAGGAACTGGTGGGAGAAGTGGAAGTGGCTGGGGTGGGGAAAGAAGGTAGGGGGTGTGTGTGTGATTAGCCAAGAGTAGCTTTGTCCTGGGGACAGGAATGAGGGTCAGGGAGGAGAGGTCCATCTCGGGTCCCCAAGGGTGGCAGGTTCTGGGGCGTTTGAGAAAGTCCTGATGGGGGAAGTGATGTGTGCTGGGGGTGGGACCCCAAAGGGGGGCCCCTGGAGGTACAGACTCTGGAGCACTCAGGGCTAAAACTCAGACAGGGTTTGCACAGGGGCCTCTGGCCTGGTGGACTGCAGGGTGTGGAACCAGCCTCATAGGTTGCCTGGTCAGTAGGATAAACGCCAACCATCACAGACCAAGAGGAAGTCCTTGGTGTGGGTGGAATGGGGCCTTCACCATTGGGGCTGGCCTGGAGGCCGGGTGGCTCAGAACCTGTGACTCAGGGGTGTCCCCTAGGCTGGTCCAGGGGACGTGGTGGGCACGGGCAGGCAGGGCCCAAGGGAAAGGGTTAGAGAGCTGGCTCCAGCGTACACAGAAAAGGAAGCAGGGAGTCCCAGGAACTGACATCACACATCCTACCGCAGCCTGACAGGCAGATTTAAAAAGGGAATGGATGTCTCTCTTTGGCTGGGTTGTCTGCTCAAGGGAACTCAGACTGTGGGTTTGGGTTTCGGCAAAGCTCTGGACCCACTCAGGGAATTTCGGGGATGAGAAAAGGGGGAGAGGCCTCCCCCGTGTGAGGGACCATGCCCCACACCAGCAGAGCAGCCATCAGGTCCAGCCGCAGCTCCTGGGGGTGTTGCTACAGGAACCCGCTCGCCAGTCTCCTATGCCCTCACCATCACAGAGGGCAGGGGCACCGGTGTGGCTGCAACAAGGCATTTATTCCAGATGTGCAAAGCTGAACACGCAGGTGCAAACCTAACTTAGGAAGATCTGCCAGTGGCCCCGGGGTGGCCATGCCAGGATGGCCCACCTCCAGCTCGTGGCCGAGAAGCCCCCGGGGCCCCTCAGACCAGTCCTTGGGTCTGAAGAGCCTGGGGCGTGGGTGCTCACTGGAGAGCAGTGAGCCAGAATATCTTGCTAAAGAAGAAAGCAAAAATCATAGTGCGTCTAAGGAGTTGGGAGGGGGTAACAAACTATCTTGCCCTCTGCGGTTCCCTTTCTTTTAGGGGTTGGGTGGGGCCATGATAAAGGAAGGTGCAGGGGGCTGGACTCAAACCCCGCTGTCCTTCCAGGAAGAGCTTCCATGCCTTGGGGGGATGGTGATGGATCTGAGGGGAGCCCAAGGGGATCCTGGGACGGCCCGGGGGACCCCCACTGGATTAATCATGGCCAGAATCAGTGGGAACTCAGTATCACAGCCAAGAGGTCTCTATCCCTAGGGCTAGAGGTCAGGCTGCTGGGTGGGACCCAAGCTGGGTCACCAGCTTGAGATGGACTTGAGGGGGGGGGTCCCTGAGGCCCAGCCTGGCTTGGCCTTGAGAGCTTTCTGGACTTAGGGAACCTGATGAGGCTAAGACCCTCTTTTAAGGGAGCCCAAGGAGACTTTGGGGACCTCTGGCACTGTTGGGTGGAGGGCAAGAGTCATCTACATGGGGGATTCTCCAGGGAAGCCTAAGTCATTAGAAGCAACTGAACAAGCAGGGGAACGCAGCCATCACTGTTGAGTCGGGGAAGCCTGGGGACATCACTGCCACAGGTCGTTGGCGGCCACCCCCTTGTCATCCTCGTGGAACTTGTGCAGGTGGTCGGCGAACCTGGGGGCCACAGAAACATCTGCTGAAGCCGAGTGTGAAAAAGAAAGAAATGTGGGAGTGGCGGGGGGCATGGAGGTCTCCAGGGGGTGTGCCCCCGTGGGTGGACCAGATGGGGGCAGTGATGGAAGGCTGGGTGGGGACAGGGAACATAAGAACATAAGGGTGGTGCTGGGGGCCGAGCGGGGGGCTGAGTGGGTCCTCACTTCTTGGCGCAGAAGGTGGCACAGTCCCGTTCCATGCTCTCGCTCCACGCCAGCTTGTAGAGCACCTGCCCCGAGGGAGAGACACGGTCAGCAGCCTCGCGGCCACTCCGGCCGTCCACCTGCCGCCCCTGGGCCTGGTTTCCTGACACATGACATTTCTTGTGGCCGCAGCCCCAGGCTGAGGGGGCGGGGCGCCTTAGAGATGCTACCTCTCGTGCCCACCAGCTTCAAGCTGGTCAGACAGGCCTGGGCATGGAGCTACCATCCCTAGCATCGCTGGGCATACCACTGGCAGCACCAGGACCGGTTGGGCCCTGGGGTCAGAGCTGGAGCCCGGGTTGGCCATATAGGGGCCATCTTCACTGTGGCCTCGCTGGGGGTGAGGGGTCCCTGAGGCTGAAGGCTTCTGCAGGCATGCGCCTACCCCTGCTTCTCCCTCCACTGGGCGGACACGCAGGCACCACCAGGCCCCCGTATGTGCTGTGCCCGGGAGCTAGACGGCCTCTCCGTCCCCCAGGAGGTTCAGCTCAAGGTGCCCCTCCCTGTGCGGCCCACCTGGGTCCCTCAGCAGTGACTACTGTTAGACCTCCTTTCCCATCCACCGGCCTGCCTCCGTGGCCCTCCCCTCCGCCAAGCCCCGCTCCCAGGGCCGGGCCCTGCATGGAGTCGCACAGGCTGCTGCCCCAGCCAGAGGGCCTGCCGGGTGGGCTTGTCGTCCCCAAAGGCCCGCGATGGGGACAGAGCGGCTGAGCGCAGACTCCCTGCAGGCGGGCGGTAGGTGGGGGGACCGTGGTGAATGTCTCCCTGGCCACGCCTAGATCCTCACCAGGAAGACCAGGAGGTGCAGGAACAGTGTGTAGAAGAAGCCGATGGTGCGGGCCATCTTGTTGGAGAGAACCAGCCGCCCCTGGGGAGCAAGCAAGGCGTGAGTGGGGTGGGGCGAGTCTCACCCACCCCTGCCGGGTTCACCCACCCAGGGCAGCCGGGGGAGCGAAGGGCAGGAAAAATAGGCTGCCGCTCCAGCGTTCAGGCTGGGAACGCGGGGCCTCAGGAATGCTAGGGAATGGCGCCCCCGTGTGGCCACGTCCAGAATCTACCGTGAATAATAGGGCTGTTTTGCCCGTGTGCCTGCCCCCGAGTGCACACCTGGGGTTAACCGGGTCACGGTCGCACACCCTCACTGGGCCGTCAGCATCAGCTGGTGTTCCAGGCCTGCCCTGGTGGACCCCAGGCCTCCCCGGAACCAAAGTGATCGTGGGGGCTGCCCTGGTGGTCTGGGGTGTCACGGTGCAGTGTGTGTGGGCTGGTGGAGGGGGGCCAGAGGGAGCCCGAGGCCAGGTGAGCTGGTGGGTGCCCCGGGCTGCCCCGCGGCCGGGCCCACGCACCCGCTTGCTGAAGGAGGAGAAGGGGTCCAGGCGCTCCTCGTACTGGGTTGAGTAGCGCAGTTCCGTGTCGTCACTGCCGCCGCCCTGCAGGAAAGGGAGGAGAGACCCGGTCAGCGCACCCAACAGGAGGGCTGGAGCCAATGGACTGCAGCCCGACAGCCTCACAGGGAGCCTCAGTCTCCTTTTCCGCACGGTGGAGGCGGGGACAGGGCCCCGGGTGACGGTGTGACATATGGTGCCTTGTGTCCAGGGGCGCTGCCCGGGATCAGGGGTCTTCTCCCTGGGGTCGGGGTCACCGTGCCTCAGGACAGGTAGGGGGAGCTAAGACCCAGAGGGCAGCTGGAATGTACAAGGGCGGGGCCCGGTGCAGGGAGGTGGGTCTGGAGGGGCTTCGCTGGGAGAGTGCAGGGTGGCTCTGGGGAACAGGCCGGCACCTGGGAGATGAAGGCCGCCCCCCAGCCCTGCAGCAGGCCACGCAGCGAACTAGAACTAGTTCGCATGGAGCCTGGGCGCCCTCTGGTGGCCTGAGAACAGCTTCAACTGGTGGTTTGGGGGCGGGTGGCTGAGTCTTGGACTTGTCCCCCAGCCAGCGCGTCACCACTCCATCCTTCTGCCCAGTCCATCTCCCCAGGGCCTCAGAAGGGTTTTCCTGCACGAGGTGGTCTCCTGTGAGCCCTGGGGGCTGAGAGAAGCCGGGGAGGGCCCTCCTGGCTCAGAATAGAGTGGGTAGTTTTCTATTCCAATCTGATTGATAGGTTTTTGGAATGTTGAACCCAATTCTGGTATTTTTTTTTTTTTAATATAAGTTTAAAACATATGAATCCCCCACAGTTGTCCTGTATGTCCAACATCCCTAGGGTTAAATTTCCAGATCCTGGGGTCAACTAGTGGGTCCCCCTATTTCACAGAGGACTCACGTGGGCCTGAGTCCTGTGAGCCCTGCCTCTTTCTGAACCTCATTACCTCCTGGCTGGGGCTTCTGATGAACAAAACTCCATCAGGGCTCCACAGCTTAGGGAGGATAGCTGGCAAGCCTGGGGCGGGGGGGTGTGGGATGGTCTCTGGGCGTCCCAGGCCCATGGCTGCCCAGCAGCTCACTGCCCCCAGCCGTCCTGCTGGGACCACTCCTCTCCCTAGACCGGTTCAGCTTGGAAGCAGGGGGCCGGGGGGCGCTTACCCGGCCAGGGTAGCTCTGCAGGAACTTGATCTTCTCAAAGAGCTTGATGTTGTCCGCGCGCAGGCTGTCTAGCTCGGTCTGCAGAGCTTGGATGGTGTGCTGGGCCAGGCGGTTCTCCTGGGGGCAGCCGGGCGGGTGAGTGGGTGGGCAGGACCCGCAGTGGAAGGAGTTGGGGGAGAGGCCTCCATGCTGGCATGGGTCCCACTCTGTCTACCCTAAGCCCCTGCTTGGCCTGAGGTCACATCCTAGACCTGCCAGCCTCTGCTCAAAGCCCGGGGAGACCACAGCAGGCAGAAGTCACAGTCCTTGGGTCACTTTCTTTTATTCTTTTTTTTTTTCTTATTTTCCTGGGTCACTTTCTTCATGTTGTTTGTTTATGGTATCAGCTTAAAATTATTGTTGAGATATATTTCATATAACATAAACATCATTTTAATGTATAATTCATTTTTTTCAATACATTCACAATGTTATGCAACCATCTTTAATTTGCATATTTAATTTAACATGCAAATTATATTTAATTTAATTTCAGAATTAAAATTAATTTTAATCAGTTAATTAAAATTAATTTCAGAATATCTCTATCACCCTAATAAGAAACCCCACACCTGTCATCACTCACTCCTCATGCTTTCCTCCCCCGACCTCCGACAACCACTAGTCTACTTCCTGTCTCAATGGGTTTGCCTCTTCTGGACGTTTTATATAAATGAAACCATACAATATGTGATTTTAATGTTTGCCAACCTAGGGGCAAAGTGACATGTGAACTCATCTTCCAACTTATTAAAATGCTTAAAGAGGTGTTTTCTTCACACTGTGAAAAATTCAAAAGCGCAAAAATGTCCATGGTAGTGTGGCAGTTCCTCAAAAATTTAAAAATACAATCACCGTATGGTCCAGCAATTCTACTTCTGGGTGTACACCCCAAAGAACTGAACGCAGGGACTGTGAGATAACTTGCTCACCCATGTTCATGGCAGCATATTCATAAGAGCTAACAGGCGGAGCAACCCAAGTGTCCATGGACAGGTGAAAGGACAAACAAACTGTGGTCCAGCCACACAATGGAATATTATGCAGCCTTAAAAAAGAAGGAAATTCTGACACATGCTACGGCATGGATAAACCTGGAGGGGATTAAGCTGAGCGAAATAAGCTAGAAACAAAAAGACACATATTCTATGATTCCACCTATATAAGATACATAGAGTGGCCGAATTCATAGAGACAGGATAGAATGGTGGAAGGTGGCAGGAGGGAAAGAGGAGTGAGTGTTTAAACAGTGCAGAGTTTCAGTTTGGGAAGATGAAAAAGTTCTGGAAATGGGTGGTGGTGGGAGTTGCCTAACAACATGAATGTACTTAATGCCATTGTGTTGCATTTAAAAATGGTTAAGATGATAAATTTTAAGTGATGCATCTTTTGCGTGTTCAGTCATGTCTGACTTTTTGCAACCCCATGGACTGTAGCCCGCCAGGCTCCTCTGTCCACGGAATTTCCCAGGCAAGAATATCGGAGTGGGTTGCCATTTCCTCCTCCAGATGTATGTTTTACCACAACTTAAAACACGTACATGGTAAAAAAGAAAGTCTAGATTTTTAAAGCAGAAGGCACAATCTTATAAATACTCCTTCCACCCCACTTGATCTAGTTTGAAGACCTTTTTAAAGGGCTGCCTAGCCTTCCATGGTGATTGTCCCTAGCCCTCGAGGGGCATGGGTGTTCCCTGTCCACTTTCACGAAGGTAGCTGTAAGGGGAGCCGTCCTGATGGTCCTCCATTTGAAGCCTCTTGCTCTGGAGCCCAGATCACAGGGGGTCCCACTGGATCTGGTTCACCCTTGTCACTGGACCAGCATGGGGCCCGGCCTGCATGGGTACTCAGTGAATGTCGGCCTCCTGGAGACCTCAACCTTTTCTGCCCCATGGGGGAGCTGTGGGTGCAGAGGGAAGGGGCGAGATATTTCACCGCCTGCTCAAGCGGTGACTCTTTGAGAAGATGGAAACCTTCTTGACTCCTCTTTCTACTGGGAGAGAGATCGGAGGACCTGGGCTGGCTGGCTCTGTGGGATGGAAGCAGGGGTCTGCAGAGTCCCCAAGGGGACACTGCATGTGAAAGACCCACGTGCAGCTGGACTGGTTGCCTTTTTCCCCCCAAATACTTAATTAATTTATTTATTTGGCTGTGCCGGGTCTTGATTGTGGTGTGCGGGTCCTATAGTTGCCCTGTAGCACGTGGGATCTTAGTTCCCGAACCAGGGATTGAACCTGTGTCCCCTGGATTGGAAGGCAGATTCCTAACCACTGGACCCCCAGGGAAGTCCCCAGGCTGGTCACCTTTGCAGACTAGACTGGCTTCTCCTATGGGTTCTCTCCAGGAGGGTCACCAGTTGGGTGCTTAGCAGCCAGCAGGCTCTCTCGGACTCCACAGAGCGCCTGGCCTTCTCTAGACTGTTCCTCTTCATAGGGTTCAAGATCCGCCTCCCTGGGACCTGCCCCTGCTTCCCACCCCTCCACCTGATTGAGATGTTTCTTTCTGGACCACGGTGACCACCACCAAATTGTCTTCCTGGGCCAAGTCTCTATTCTAGACTGACTGCCCGAGTGACCTTCTTACCCTCCATCCTGGCAGTGGTGGTCCCCCCCTTCTATCACACCCCAGCCTGGCAGTAGGGATCTTGCCTGGCGACTCTCTGTTTTGTCCCTGGACTCCCTTCTGGCTCCTTGACCCCATGGTTCTGTTCACGTGTTTACCTGGAGGGTCTGATTCTCCTTTCAAAGCCCAGTGTGATGTCACCTCCTCTAGGCATCCCTCCCTGACCACACAGAACAAATATAATCCCACTGAGGTCTGTGGTCTGTGACACATCTTTCTCCCCTACACCTGTGTGTCCTCCACCATGTCCTCAGGCCCGTAGAGTGTCGGGGAGGGGGGGATGTGACTCACTGCCTCCAGCTCCTGGTTCCGGGCCCGGAAGCGCTCCCTCTGGCTGGAGATGATGGACAGCAGCGAGTCCACCTGGCCCTCGGGGAGAGAGCTGGCAGGTGCCGAGGGTCCTAGGATGGAGGGGACAGTGGCTTGGGGGTAGTGGGGGGTGGGGTGGGAACAGCCCAGTGGGGGGCCCTCAGGTCACCAGCTCCGAGGGGGCTCTAGCTGAGTGCCATGGGGTGGAAGCAAAGGGACATTGAGGGGACTGGGTGGCCCTGCCACCACCACTGTGTCCTGGCCTCAACACTCGGGGGCCACCTCCGCTCCAGCCCTTGGCTGCCTCTCAGGGCTGGGCCCCACCCCCACCAGGGAGATGATCAACACCCACCAGCCTGTGACAGGCCCCTGGCAGGGCTGAGCTGGTCAGGGT